TGAAAGAAACACCACCGAACCAAAAAACCCAAATCCCCATCAGCTAACACCATACACCAAACCATGTCAAAACTCAGCAAACTACAAAATAGCAAGTACCATGAGGACTGGGTATGCTGTAAATAAGAGAAAGAGTCAAGAAGCTTTTATATTTAAGGGCATCCTTATGACACTGGTGGCCCCTGGATTTTACTTCCAGAAGAAACAACTCTGCTTGTATTTTCTTGCAAAGAGGATTATTGCCATAAATCATCCTGAGGGTGTACGTCCTAAGAGATACAAGACGTTATTAATTCTCTACTAAAAAGTCCAATTTGTAGGAAAAAAGCAAGTGGTCTATATTGCAGGGTTAATTTCCAGTTAACTGTGCTAGGATTTTTTTTTTTTAGTAACATAACAGTCAACTCATGAACTGCATTTTACCAAGAAGTTTCTGTAATTCTTGAAGATATTTTAGGAAACAAGTAAACAAACAAAACCCCATCCTTTCCCGTTGTTCTTAGTAAGCTCTCTTTTTTCTGATCATCTCAGAAGATTAGTGTCAGAGAAACAATTTTTGTATCTTATAAAGAAGAGGAAACACTATTTTTCATACATGGTAATTTGCACTGAAAAAACTACATAGCAGAATACAGCTCACTTGCCCATGGAAAAAGAACATCTCTGGTACTGATCTCCATCAAATTGATTTGATTATCTGAACACATAATTCTTCACTCGCATAGTTAACTTTTCCTCCCAACAACTATAAAAGTTATATGAATAGAATGTTATAGAATCGGAGTGGAACAATATGAACACTTGGAAAACAAAAAATCAATGAGTCTTTTCCAATACTTGCTTTATGAACGCTTACTGAGTTTTTAATCATTATTTCACAATATAGTTACAAGATATGAAATCAATGGGGTATTTTAGTTAAAGATCAAAACCTTACAAAATCCAAATGAGGTACTAACAGATACATGCTTTCCTCTTAAAAAGAAAAATATTGGAAAACTTAATGAAAATGGTACTTGATAATTGAGGTGGAAACATAATCTAGATTTAATAATGTTGTTATGTTTGCATATGCCTGCTAACCTCATAAAAGCTATGCGAATTTATGCCAGGTCTCAATAAAAAACCACAATGTTGAAATCCCCCACTCCAGTTACAGAGCAGAGCAATTTTTCGCTTGCTTTGGAATAATGAATCAAATAACGGACACTTCGACACTTCTAAAGTATAATTTTCTACTGTGATACAAATGAAAAAAATGGGTGAACTTTTTTTTTAAAAAAAAAGAAAAAAAACGAAAAGCATTGCAGCTTGCCTGCAAGTATTCTGACAGACTTCAGAGGCCAAAAGCACAGAGGTCAAGCAGGCCCCGTAAGGTCAGAACCCACATTAAACAAGAGCAGAACTGGAGATGACACTTGGGCATATATTAGCCTAAATAAAAGGAAAGAATTTTTTGGACCAAGAGTCTCTCTAACAAGGCTGAAAACACACTTCCTTCGGATAAGAATTCCCCATCCCTTTTTTTCTACTCCAGAAGCTGTTGATGCCGTTGTTTCTACAGTTATCACCATCCTGTCACTGTTTTCCATACTCTAATTTTTTTTCTGCATAGATGTACTGGCACCTATTCACCCCAGCAAGTATTCCTCCCTCAAAAACTGTAATATAAAAGCCAAGGTGTCTGGCAAGACTATACAGTTAAATGGTAATACAACCTTTGCTCAAAAATTCAGTTGGAGAACACACAAAAAAATCCCTATGTTCACCTGGCAACCAGCAGAACGAGACTGAAATTTCCACCACAAGGACTTGTGCACTGTGTGGCAATACTAAGCAAAAGAAATTTGCAAACACAACAGCAAGGAATATCAATATAGGAATGCGAGTCCCAGCCTATAAAATAATTTTTATTTTTATATTAAAAAACACCAATCACACAAGAACTTCATCCAGAACAGACCACTGTGGAATCTTCTTGAATTACCCTCCCAATTTAGTCAAGTAATAGCTGATTACTGAGTTTATTCTGAATTATCCTGATTACTGCGTATTCTCTTCTCCTTTTAGCAAACCATTTTCGAATCGTTATTCTGGGAAGATGAATTTTCCTAAGAACAGATGTAATTTGATTAATCAAAATACTACTGTAGAACTACGTTGTAACTGGGAGAAGAAAGCATGAGAAGGCTTCTGTTTTTACTGTGCAAAAATTCCATTATTATTCTACCATATTTTCAGAGTATTTGACATTTCACTATATCTAGCAGATAGGATCATTATTCATTGTCTTTGCTATTGTTCAAAAGAAGTTTGTGCTATTAATTTTAATTTTTACAGCACCATAGACATGCAGCTTGATGTTAAATTCCTTTGCACTCAAAATTTCCGTCCATTTAGCATCCATTAAAAAGAAACAGTGAGCATCAAGCAGAAGAGGATAACTGGTTTACTTTGTAGAAACCCATCAAATAATTCAGAACAAGAATCAATTGACCATTATTTAAGAAACAGAAATTTTTCATCTGCAAAACAGACTTTTACTAAGTTTTTCTTCACTATTTTTTCTGCCTAATTCATGTCTCTGCAGTTCTTGAAAGAAAAGCAAGATAGAACGTGCTGTGTTCTAAAGGTAAGAGGACAAAATAATCATATTTTCTTACCTTTGCATTATAGGGAATATAATGCTTTGATAAGGCTTCAGGAGTGTGCATCCATGTTTTGTCTACAGAAAAGCAAAATAAAAGAAGCACTGAATTGGTTATTCAATTGTTAATTTAACTATTATAGTATCTACCTGGAAAACTTCAATGACCCTCCTTTTAACTAGATAAATATCTGTCTGAAGTAGTTATCGGAGTTGGTGGGAAATGCAGCCTAACTCACAATTTCTCAAAGATTTAAATGAAAGAACCTGGTTACTTCTCTTGGGCACAATTCTCATTTTAACCAACTTGATTTGCTGTAGGAATTCCAACTCCAACTCCTCCCCCAAAATACATTTATTGGTCCAAGGTTATTTGGTATTTCTGCCTCAGTTCATTATTTTCTGCATCCTGCTGTTGTTGAACGCATGTTGCGCTTCTATTTACGGCTTTTTTTTATTCATTATGTGCTTCTTTAGATGAATTATCCAAAGACATCAAAAGGGATAAAGGAAATTATTTTGGAAAAATTATCAGAGTGATAACTGATAGAAAAAAGCCCAAATCCTTCTACAAGAAAAGAGAAGAAAATGACATGGTGGTAACTGATTCAGAAGTTTAGATCGTCTTTAATCTTTCCTTACATATCCTAAACGAATTTGCATACATTCCTTCAATGATTTTCACATCACAAGACTACACTACTGTCTTACTTTTCCCACTGCACGCTTCGTATGGTGACATGAAGAGTTCAATATTTGTGAAATACATCTTCCCTCCGTCTTTTTAACAGCTATTTAGAATGCTCTACATAGTTGAAGGTGGAATTCCAAACATTAGTAAAAAATCCTTTTTATTAGAAGTTAAGAAACTATTTTAAAAAGTTTTCTCATTTGAAATCATTAAAAAACCAAAAAAGGTTTCAAAATTTGTATTACCAACCATGAGAGATTCTGTAACACTGAGCAGTATTTTATACTCCACATATTCAATATTTAGTAGTATTTTCTAACATAAATATCCTCCTGTTTTAATTAGCATGAATTAAAGTCACAAATCTGGAACTTTATTGAATTAAGTAACAGAGTAATAGCTTAAAGCAAAATTCTATCCTTGGATATTCACAGACAATTCCCTTTGCCTTTAATGGGAGCTGCAGTTATAGCAATTATTAATTTTTTGTTACTTACATGTAAGAACAATAAAATCCTGTTCACTTCAAACTGTTCAAGAGCAAAAGCTGTGACATTTACTGACGCTAAACCAGTAACTATTTTTGAACATCCATCAACAAGAAAACTGTTAAACAAGATATTCACCATGGTCACCACAGTAAGAGGATCAAACCTGCAAAGCTAGAGGAAATTTTTTTTTATTAAGCAAATTTTATTCTAGATGACAGTAACATTCAGCTCGATTACTGAAGAATGATATTATCACTTCTTAATTAAGGAAGCATGATTTGTCCATTCAGCGGCACCCAGGAGTACGATTATGCACTGAAGTGGCTCTTCCTTTCAATTGTGGCTTGTGATCAGAATACCGCAACAAAGAACCGCGCTCATTTCCCAGAATATTTTAAGACCTGAAACCTGATCTCTATTTTGAGTACAATATCAAAAGCTGTGAATTAGAATGTTAGAATAAAGCCTAAGAGAATCATACAATCATAAAGTAGTTAGGGATGGAAGGGATCTTTAAAGGTCATCCAGTCCAACCCCCTACAATGAGGGGGGACATCTTCAACTAGATCAAGTTGCTCAGAGCCCTGTCCAACCTGAGCTTGAATGTTTCCACGGATGACACATCTATCACCTCTCTGGGCAACGCTGTTCCAGTGTTTCATCACTCTTATTTTAAAAAAATTCTTCCTTATAGGTGGTCCAAATATATCTTTTTTTAAGTTTAAAACCACTACCCTTTCTGCTGTCACAACAGGTCCTGCATTAACCGTAAGCATTGTATTTCAAGTCAGTGCACTGCTGAAGGCCAGACCGGTAACTGGGCTTGACAGCAAGTCCCAGACACAGAGGAAGCTGGCATGTAAGGCAGGACTGCTCTCTGTCCCATCGTACTTACTGCAGCACAGTCAAGATCCATACAGTGCAAATTTCAACTCCAAAATGTTCATTCACATTGCTAATGTCAATATTTTATTTACCTACTTCTTACACAACAACTGTTTACTAGCTTCAGCAAGGATACTGTCATATTTATAAATTCAAAAGGGAAAATCCGGCAAAAATAAAATGTCAAACCTCAAAACCAGTCCTCCATTGTACTAACACAAGTGACTTCTTGTAGCTTCTAAAGCCTGTAAAATTGCTTTAGAGTTAGTTTGATGTCACAGCAGTTGAGAAATACCAAATTTCAGACATTTTGCATCCAGAAAAGTATGAAAAAAGAAAACCTATAAACCAGGTATTCATTTAAATAGATAATGTAGATGTGGCTTGTGGTTTGCATGATCCCTCACTTTTGGAATTAATTTTAAATGGGTTTTCACAGCTTAGTACTTAATTATTCATTTTGAAGTAACAAAATATAAAACCCTACAATGAAAAATCACGGTTCATATTATTATTTTATTAGCTATATAGCAGCAAGAGTTCTAGACACTTTATAGATAAATAAAACAGTAAGTCCTAAAGAAAGGACCAAAAGCCTAGATAAAACCAAAACTGACAACTGCATGCATCTAATATAGCAGCAGTAGCAAGTGAAAAGACACTCGCACTACCACACTGGGTGAAAACTACAGTTATTTTTGATCTTGTATGAGCTCTTAATCTAGGCTGCCTTAGCATTTACATTAAAGTTTAAATAAGTGCTCGGTTATTTTTTGAGAATTATGAGTTTGAGCCACCCAGAGTCCACTAAAACCTAAGTAGAGTTTAGCTTGAATGAAGTATTAGAGATTCTAAGAGGTAAAAGCCTAAATATGTGGTGGCTTTGCCGAACGTACTTGAGCTTCATGGGAGAAAAGATGGGAAAAAGGATCACTGTTCAGAATTCAAGGGCGCAGGGCAAGCCACAGCCCTGCTTAAAGAGAGTAATCCTGTAGCCTCTACACAACACCTCCTCACGTGCACAGCATGTTAACTGTGCAGCACAGGCTTTTAGACAGTCTCTGTAGCAGTAGCACAGCTTCCCAGCGAGTTTTTAAGAGAATTTGACTTGGGTGAGAGCTTCTCAGGTTTTGCTCCCTGCTAGCTTACACAGCTCTGCTAAGGGCAGTGGGAAAACTGCATAAAATTAACGTCTGGAAGACCTGGGGTTTGACTGAGAGAACTGCAAGGATGGAGGCAGGGGGCTGGGCACTTCCATGGTCAGAGGATTAACTGCACTCAGGACTGAGACTTCACTTCCTTTTAGTCTCCCTTGAACCATACCAGCCCCCTTCCATTATAAAGGAAAGATCCCTCTGCAATTTGCATTTCATATCAAATACTTGGTCATCACACAATCTGGGAGCACTGGTGTGAGCCATTTCAGAGGCCTCAGTGGTGTTGGGAGAGCAGGGAAGGAGAAACGTGCTGACAAATCACACACTGAAGTGAATAGACTCAGGGACTTCATAAAATATCCAGAATAAGTGTGCTGCACTTAGTGGAGGATGACACTAGGTTAGATAACAGCACAGCTGACCATTTATCTACCAAAAAGGAAAGCAGTAACTGTGCCAAGAAATTGTTCTCCCTTTGAGATTAATTTCTCCACACATTACTGCCCACAGATATTGTAGAATGGATTTAGTAGAGAGGCACTGATGAACTATTTTCTAAACGGCAAAACAATGCTCAACAGTGCAAGTTCTGCTTCCCTAAGCCCCGCTCTCATCACTAATTCATGCATGCTAAAAGTGGCTCTACTTAACTATGTTCCAAAGTGTTTATCAAAGCATACAAGACCTAGTGGCCACTCCATTTAATATGATGAACAGAGAGAGACACTGGTTTTAACTTACTTTTTTTTTTTAGTGTCATAGTGAAAATACAATAATTTCTAGAAGGTAAAATCTAAATGCCTTTATTCTTTATTGAATTAAAATCTCTTGGACGTCAATGGATGATTTCCATGCTAAAAGAAAAGAAGAAATCTTTGAACTGTCTTTTTTCCTGTTTTACAAAATGAGCTATGAAAAGAAAGATGTTCTAAGACAATGAGCCTAATAAAAGTCTCCTTAAGAAGAAGAGTGCATCCCACAAGGTCAGGGCTTTATCTAGGTATTAACGCTTCAGTGAACAAATAAATTATTTGCTTCAGTGTTTCTATACAGGTATCTATAATTTTTCCTAGGTTCCCTATTTTTGTATAAAGAAAGAAAACCTTCACAATGGGACATATGTGAAGTCACTCTGTTAAATCGTTTCCTTTGTCCTCCACTGCAACAGAAGCAGGCAGGTTCTCACAAACCTCAGTTATGCTAGTCAGACAATGAGGTAGAATCTGTCTTCTCGACTACTGCAGGCAATGAATGGCTGAGCCATGAGACTTAATGCTTGTTACCAGAGCTTTCATCTTAATGCAATATCTAAGTATTATTAACAAACATAAATCTACCCATATTCTTCTATAATTAAGCTACAGTATTTATTGCAATCACCTTCTAGAGGAATGACTGAGTACAATCTGCGTGTCTAATAGCACTAATTTATGGAAGTTACTACTAGGTTACCATGATTAAGCAACTGAAATTATGAGTCAGATTCTGCCCATACCACGTATAGGCAAATGCCCACCAATATACAGAATTAAAAAATAATCACTTTTGTTGTTCCTTTTCCTTTTTTTTTTTTTGGCAAACATCAAATGTTCTTTGGAGACTTATTTATTTTTTGCCAAGACAACGAAACTGTATCTCCCTAGAACAGAGTAAGCTTTGCAGAATGCTTAGCCTCTCTGTCCTCCTCTCATAACATCTAGGACTTCATGAATGGTTTTAAACAGCTGATTACTAAAATAGCAAAATGATATAGAATGCTGGGTTGGCACAGCTACAAAATGAAAAAAGAAAAAAGTCTAGTGTGTTCATTTCCTCAAATAGTAACATTCACTGCATAACCTATACATTTTATAC